TTGGTCTCCCGTGCCACGGGAGTGGCAGCCACCAGCTCTCCTTATGCTTGAGATAACCGATACCCCTACTCCCTCCATCAGACAAGGCACTGAGACCTCCTACCCAAGACCCATTCTGCTCCCCACATAACTCTGCCCCACGTCGGACTCTGTTTCTGTCTGCCATGAGGTTGCTGCTGGTATACATTTGTGTCTTGGTTTCCCATAATGCTGCCAGGGAATCCCAAATCCTGCTTGAATGTGGCTGCCAATCAAGGCTCTCTTGGGCACCACATGGTCACTCTTCTAAATGTAAGAAAGACATTGGCTGAGGCATGGGCTGGAGCGGTTAGCGTCTTTGGGCCACCATTCCCTCCAACTGTGACGTGAAAGAATTAGTTCAGAGCAGCTCAGAAGCTCTGCCTAACTTTCTGAAATGAATGTTCTCTTTTGCTAATCCATCTGCTTATTGGGCAAATACTACGCAGTGCTAACTAAGCAGCAGCTCTGGAGCAGTAAGACCTACACTCAGGGAGCTCATAGCCTGGTGTGAGACATGATGACTGAATGCCAGCAATATACATTGTTGGGGGCTTCAGGAAGAGTAGCAAAGGGACTGGTATGTCCTAGAAAGGGAGTTAACTGGCCGGTGGGGCGGCTCACTAGGCTAATCCTCCGCCCGAGGTGCCGGCACCCTGGGTCCTAGTCCCAGTTGGGGCGCTGATTCTGTCCCAGTTGCTCCCCTTCCAGTCTGGCTCTCTGCTGTGGCCCGGGAGTGCAGTGGAGGATGGCCCAAGTGCTTAGGCCCTGCACCCGCATGGGAGACCAGGAGAAGCACCTGGCTCCTGGCTTCGGATCGGCGCAGCACGCTGGCTGCAATGCGCCAGCCGTAGCAGCCACTTCAGGGGTGAACTGGGGGGTGAACCAATGGAAAAAGGAAGACCTTTCTCTCTGTCTCTCTCTCTCACTGTCTAACTCTGCCTGTCAAAATGAAAGAAAGAAAGAAAGAAAGAAAGAAAGAAAGAAAGAAAGAAAGAAAGAAAGAAAGGAAGGAAGAAAGAGGGTTAGCTAAACCCGAAAGCTTTCTTCCTGCCCTACCACCTCCATCTAGTCATGTGACTCCCTCCATCCAGTTGATGGGGCTCAACCCCTTGGGGTCTCACCCACAACTCCTCCCTGCCTCTTGTGTCCTTACTTTCCTCGTTTAACCACAAGCAGTCAGCACCTTGAAAATGTATTCATTTCCAGCCCCATCTCATCGCCTCCGTTGCTGCAGCGCTGATCTGAGCTGGAACCATTGCCACGGCACCACTGTCTCTGCTCTTTCCCTCTCTCAGTCTAGCGTCCCTCAACCGCAAGAATGATCTTTATAAAATACAAGCCACACCTATCACTCCTCTGGTCAGCAGGCTTTGCACCCCATGACCTACAATGCCCTGACCCTGGTCTCTCCTCTTTCTACTCTGGCCCTTGCTCGCTGCTCCTTATACATGCTAACTGTCTTTGAACTTGCTCTTCCTCCTGCCTGACATACACTTCCCACTTCCTGCACAGAAGTTGTATTTCACCGTGAATTCGATCACCCCCAAGCCTTTGTGACTGAAAACAGCAATCAGCAGTTCGGGTGTTTCCTGGTTTCTGGGAGTCAGGAATTTGGGTGGCTAACTCTGGCCCACCATCCCTCAAGGAGGCTGTGGCCTGATGTAGGTAGAAGCCGCAGGCTCATCTGAAGGCTTGAGTGGAGCTGGAGGGCCCAGGTTCAAGGTGTTTCACAATCAGGGCTGGCAAGCTGGTGTTGGCTGTTGGCCGGAGGCTCCAGTGCTTCTGCACACGGGCCTCTCCGTAGGGCTGTCCAGGGCCTCACAACACGGTGACTGGCTTTCCCAGGGAAGAGAGCAAGGTGGAAGGTGCCTTTTTCTGACCTAGTCTTAAAAATGACATATTATCACAAGTACAACATTCTGTCCATTAAAAGTGAGTCACTAAGCCCATCCAGCGTTCACCAGAAAAGAAGTCCAGTTCCAATTGCTGATGGCAAGAATGCTAAAGAACCTGTGGTTGCATTTTAAGTCACCCGAAGGTCAAGATTAGTCCCTGATCCTTCAAACCTCCACTCCCTTGCACTCATAAAGTGCTTCCCTGATCCCTGTGTTTGAGAGAGCAACCACCTCCTCTCATCGCTGGTCCTACATGCTGTTTCATTCTCACCATGATTTATTAGCATTAAGCAAGCTGTATTTTAACCTTATGTGTTTACAAGCCATATTGGTTTGTCCTTATGTATTTATTGTCTACTCTTCCATCTCAGATGTAAGCACCGTGGTCATAGGAGACATCCCTGTCTTGCTCCCTGCATCTCCACACCTAGAATGGCCTGGACACACTGTAGGCACCTGGGGAAAGGGGACTCATGAATGCAGCTGGGCCCAGGTCCAGGGCAGTGTGGGGAGATGCCCACCTGCCTTGCTGGGGGCTTAGCAGATCTGCAAGCTCTGAGTGGTCTGGTAACAGCCAGGAGAGCACTCCACGTGGACAGATGGGCTGCAACAGAGGCATGGAAGTGGAGCCCTCAGAGTAGGAGAAGTGGGTAGGGGAGTTTGGAGAAACCGAGGCTGAGCACGACGGAAAGGAGTTCTCGAGGCACGGAGTTGGCAGTGCGCAGGACCGGGAGCTCTGCCTGGAGTCTCAGCCCCTCCTGGCCTTGCAGTGTCTCCCTGCTCTGCCTCTGAAGATGCTCCGAGAAGCGGCTGACAGAGATGGATGTGTTTTTCTGTCTCTCCTTTAGTATTGACTGGGCTTGGCTTGCCCTCCTGGAAGCCCTAAGGAGCAAGGGGCTTATCGGATGCATTCATCCTGAGTCATAAAACCAATCCTGATGCACTGGCTGCATTAGAAATGCTAATACCTTTGATCTGTGTTTGACCTGAGATCCCAAGGCAGGGTGGGCAGGGAGCTGTGCTCTCTGGATGGGGCCACGTACACGTGTGACCCTCAGAGGCCTGACTCCTCCAGGTTAGAATCCGGGAACGAGTGACGGGCTCTTCAAAGCCCTTCTCCTGCCACTGTGAGACAGAGAGAGCCAGGGCTCACAGGCACCTGCACTAAGCGTTATTTGCATCCCCTGTCTATGGCAGAGGAGGCAACTTCAAGCCTGCATAGGAACTGCTGTTCCCTGTTAAGGACACCAGACTGGAGGTTTGGTTCATGAAAAAATAAAATCAAAGCTAACTGACCCCTCATCCACAGGGGATACGTGCCCCAGGGAATGCCTGAAACCACAGATAGTACCACACTGTATTTACTATGTCTCTTCCTATACATAAATACCTATGATAAAGTGTAATTTAAAATTTAGGCACAATAAGAGATTACTGGCAATAATAATAAAATAGAACAATCGTGTAACAATATATTGTGGCCGGCGCCACGGCTCACTAGGCTAATCCTCCACCTTGCGGCACCTGCACACCGGGTTCTAGTCCCGGTCGGGGCGCCAGATTCTGTCCCGGTTGCCCCTCTTCCAGGCCAGCTCCCTGCTGTGGCCAGGGAGTGCAGTGGAGGATGGCCCAAGTGCTTGGGCCCTGCACCCACATGGGAGACCAGGATAAGCACCTGGCTCCTGCCTTCGGATCAGCGCGGTGCACTTGCTGCAGCGCGCTGGCTGCGGCGGCCATCGGAGGGTGAACCAATGGCAATGGAAGACATTTCTCTCTGTCTCTCTCTCACTGTCCACTCTGCCTGTCAAATATATATATATATATATAGTAAAAAATTTATTACAATATATACATATTGTAATAAAACTTATGTGAATGTGGACTCGCTCAAAATATCTTAGTGTAATTGTGCGTTTTCACATAGAGGAAGCACTCCAGAGCTCCTCTGGGGCATTTCCGTCTGGCTAGCATCGCTGCGCTTGGACTTCAGGGCGGCCGTTCAGTAAAATAAGAGCCCTTGAGCAGGATCACGTGATGCCATGGCAGCTGACCTGATAATGAAAGTGGCTGCTAATGACTGACGGGCGGGTAATGTGTGTCACCGGATGCACTTGACAGAGATGACCCACGTCCTGGACGGGATGGAGCCAGCCCGAGACGCCATGATGGTCCACTCTTTAAAACTTAGTAATTGTCTAGGTCTGATCTGATTTCATCATCATTTAAAAAAAAAATCATCTATTATTTTTCACTTTATGTTTCTGTGTGGGAGCAAACTGTTGAAATCCTTACTTAATGTATACTAAGCTGATCTTCTGTATATTAAGATAATCGAAAATGAATCTTGATGTGAATGGAAGGGGAGAGGGAGTGGGAAAGGGGAGGGTTGTGGGTGGGAGGGACGGTATGGGGGGGAAGCCATTGTAATCCATGAGTCGTACTTTGGAAATTTATATTCATTAAATAAAAGATAAAAAAAAAAAAACTTAGTAATTGTCCTTTTCTGGTATTTTCCATGTAATACTTTGAAGCTGCCATTGACCGCAGGTTTCTGAGACTGTGGACATTGAAGGCATGGATGGGGGGTTTGAAAGGGAGCACAGATAAGGCAGAGGAGTGGAATACAAACGGCAATGGGGGAGAGTGAGCCGATTCTATCAGGCGTGGTCTCCAATCGTCTTGAGAAAGGAAGTCAAATGCTGGTTCCAGCCTCTTCCTGTGATTGGGTGAGGCTGCGATGGGTGGGGCTGCAGCAGCAAGCAAGCCCCTCCCTTTGCATGGCTCCGCTCTGTTTCTTTCCTGCAGAGTTTGATGTGGTTCGGGCACCTTTGCTCCTGCCTCAAGCAGCTTTGTCTTTCAGAATCTGTACCTCCAAAGTCATTGTGACGAGGAAGGCACATGTATCCCAATTTCCTTGAACTTGGAAATGACAGACGTTACTCCCGCTCCGAGACCGCTGGCCAGAGATCATCCCCTGATCTCGCCTAACTGCCAAGGAAGCAGTAGGACGTCTGTGTGTGTTTAACTGACGTCAAGTGGCTCTGTACATCCTAACGCTTTTGCCTCCTTTTTATTTCCCTGTAGGACAGAACCCCAGAGCGGCCCCACAGTCCCAGCCCAGGATGGGCCCCCAGAAAAGCCGGGTCAGCATCTGGCCACGGAGGCCTTGGCCACCAACAGCTGGGAGAGAGACAAGGCCGTCCGGGATCTGGGGCCTGCGGGAACGCGCAGGTGAGGTGCTGCCCCCTTTCCCCTCCAGTCCCGCGAGGACGTTCAGGCCGAAGCCACAGAAATGTAGTTCACCTCTCACCACCTTCTCCCTCTCTTTTGCAAGTTCCTTGGTCAGGCCCTGAAACCGGTGCTTTTTTTTTTCCTCTGTAGAAGACCAGTGAGTACATGTCTTAGGTTTGTAGGCCCAATGGGACCCTACTGTTGTAGCATAGAACTTGCTGTGAACATAGACATCCTTGTGTTTCAATAAAACTTTATGAAAGGCAGGCTGGATTCGGCCCACTGGCCACAGTCTGTTGACCTGCCTCCAAATGATAGAGTTCCTCTCTCTCTTTTTTTTTTTTTTTGACAGGTAGAGTGGACAGTGAGAGAGAGAGACAGAGAGAAAGTCTTCCTTTGCTGTTGGTTCATCCTCCAATGGCCGCCGCGGCCAGTGTGCTGCAGCAAGTGCACCGCGCTGATCCGATGGCAGGAGCCAGGTACTTATCCTGGTCTCCCATGGGGTGCAGGGCCCAAGCACCTGGGCCATCCTCCACTGCACTCCCTGGCCACAGCAGAGAGCTGGCCTGGAAGAGGGGCAACCGGGACAGAATCCGGCGCCCTGACCGGGACTAGAACCCGGTGTGCAGGCGCCGCAAGGCGGAGGATTAGCCTAGTGAGCCACGGCGCCGGCCACCTCTCTGTTTTAATAACTCCCAAATCTTGATTTCAGCCTAGACCTGTCTTGCAGGTTCCAGATCTTTGCAATCCAGCCGTTCAGCCTGTAGTGTTTGCACACCTACTGTGTGAAGACACTGTGCTGCTTACCAAGGGTGTAGCATTTCACTGAGGCTCAGAGAGCTAGAGCTTCTTGCCTAAGATATGCCAGCCAGTAAGTAGCAGGGTCCCCAGCCCCTACTAACTCACCGCTCTCTCACTGCCAGGGCCTGAGTCTTTGTCCCAGGGACAGGTGGAAAACGAATCTGGCCCCTTGTCAGTGAAACTCTCCAGACACAACTCCTCCCCCTGATTATGCCGAATCAGAGGGTGCCAAAGCCGCTCTGTAGTAGGGAAACTGAGGCTGGCAGGGAGCAGGGCCAGAGTTTTGGGAGAACCTCTGACCTGGTGCACATTTTCCCCTTACATCCTGGAGTTCTTGGCTCGCTCAGGTGGACATTCTAAGCCACGTGGGACACTTGTTCGAGCATTAGTTGGCTGCTTCTCGTGCTGTCTCCAGGAACAACAGATGGACTCTGAGAGCACCCTGGACATTCTGCGTCCCATTCCGTAAAGTGTATACGTCCCCGAGGCCCATGAACATGGACCCCTAGTGAAGAACCCCGACTCTGGGTTCTGACTCTCGAAGCAGTGGCTTAGGAAGCCAGAATAGCTTTCCTGAATGATGTCCGCCCCTCGCTGAGGCTGCAGGCTTTAGTTAGGTTGTTAGTCCGGTGAGGGAGAGACAGCTAAGTTCCAACAGCTTCACAAGTGAAGTGAAGTTCAACATCAGAGCCGGAGAGTTCTCTCCAGGAAACAGAAAGAAAATTGTCTCCAAGAGAGGCTGAGGCAGACAGAGAGGGAAGTAGGGAGGAAGTGAGTTTTCATATTCTTAAAATACTATCTCCCAGACAGCCCAAGGGGAATCTATGTGTTATAAAGGCTTATATTCAACAGTAAACCCCACTGTGGACCTGGGCCTCGGTTTGCACAACTATAAAATGGGAATATGGAAATCAACTTCTCAAGGTCAGGGTGAGGATGAACTTAGATCAGGCAGATAGAAACGCTGGAGGTGCGTCCAGAGCACAGTGAGGTCCCAGGAGAATGATGACAGAGGCCTGATGGTGCCGGGGAGAAGGTTTGGTGCTGTGCCACCAAAGAAGCTGTGCCGTGTCCGGGCCTCTTGCTCCCTTCTGTCTATGGCTGGCTGCGACACTTTAGATCCACAGTGATGATGGTGATGACAATCATGGGGATAATAAAAGTCATAATTGTTACAGTTCAGCCACGAGTCACTTAATGGGGAACACATCCTGGGAGCTGCACCCTTGGCCACTTTGTTGCAGTGTTGATGTTGTAGAGGAGCCATGGCTCACTTGGTTAGTCCTCTGCCTGCAGCACTGGCATCCAGTATAGGTGCCGGGTTCTAGTCCCGGTTGTTCCTCTTCCAGTCCAGCTCTCTGCTGTGGCCTGGGAGGGCAGTGGAGGATGGCCCAAGTCCTTGGGCCCTGCACCCGCATGGGAGACCAGGAGGAAGCACTTGGCTCCTGGCTTCGGATCAGCGCAAGGTGCCGGCTGTAGCGGCCATTTGGGGAGTAAACCAATGGAAGGAAGACCTCTCTCTCTGTCTCTGTCTCTGTCTTTCTCTCTCTCTCTCTCTCTCTCTCTCACTGTCTATAACTCTACCTGTCAAATTAAAAAAAAAAATGTTGTAGAGGATACTTACACAGACCTGGATGGTTCAGCCTCCTGCACACCTAGGCCATATGGGAGGGAGGGGGGAATAGGTAGATAGATGGGTGAATGGATGGATAGATAGATAGACCGACAGACAGACCTGTTGTCCCAGGACCACAATGAATGGAATGAGGAGATTAAATCAAGCACAAGGGGTAAGGATACAGTCAAGAGCTGCAGTAAACTTGAGGTGCAAGAAAAAGTGGGGGGGCGCGTGGTTTTGCACTAAACTTTGCTTTGTTTTGAAGCATCAGGAGTGCACTCTGAAAGAACAGTGGAAAGTAGCATGTAGTCAGTCCGTAAGCCAGGAGCACAGCCATCCACTACCAGCAGGCGGGATTACAGACCACCCGCAGGGTGTGTGCCAGACCCGTGGGCACGACTGGCATGCCGTGTGCTTGTTTACACAGCTGGCCACAGTTGTGGAAGTCACACCCACTGTCAGCACGCATTAGGGACTTCCCAGCTCCACCACAATCTTACGGGACCACCACCATGTACGTGGTGTGTCGGTGATTGACGTGTCTGTTGTGGGGCACACAATTACAAAAGAAGCTCCTTTTACTGTAAACCTGCCCCGTGCCAGACCAGATCACACTATGGGAGTCAGCTCCTTCGATCCTGGGGAGAATCTGAGGACACGGCTACGCCGTTTTATTCCCAGGTGGTAAAAATGAGACTCAGCGAGACCTCTGAGCTAGGAAGAAAAAGGGGCTGCAGGTGTGTTGGTGTCTAAAGCCAGCATTCCTGCCGCTGCACTTAACTACTGCGTGTTTAACCTCTGCCTGCTCAACCACTGTGTGCCGGAGCACTGCCTGTGTGACCACTGTATACTTAACCATTGCATCTGTAACCACTAGCATGGCTGACCACCGCTTGTCTAACGGCTGCATACCTCGTCACCTTACTTAACCTTGCATTGGCAATCACGGCACACATAACATTGCATGCTGACCCTTGACCCCATGCACATAACCACAATGCACTTAACCACTCCTCTGCCCCTTCCAGCTCCTTTATGCTGGCACACCCAGGAGACCTGGCGTGGGAAAATGGGAGTAGAGAAAACGCAGCCCAACATGAGTACAGGCATTTGGCATTTGTTGAGGGAGTCGATGACACGCACTTCCAAGTTATCCAGACCCGAGGGCTTTCTCAGTTTTACCCCATTACCTAAATCTGAGTCTGGGATAATGGTTGTGAATCTCTGCACCCCTGGGACCCTGGGGTTCCAGAAGTCAGAGGAGCTAATTGAAGCAATGGGGTATTTCCTCATTTGAAAGACATTCTTTTAAAAGTTTTCTTTTCTCTCCTCCTTTTTTTTTCCTCTGAAATTCCTGGCAGCTGTTGCCTTGGGAAGTGTTTACATGAAACAAGATAATTGGCTGGCACCGCGGCTCACTAGGCTAATCCTCCACCTGAGGCGCCAGCACACCAGGTTCTAGTCCCGGTCGGGGCGCTGGATTCTGTTCCAGTTGCTCCTCTTCCAGTCCAGCTCTCTGCTGTGACCTGGGAGTGCAGTGGAGGATGGCCTAGGTCCTCGGGCCCTGCACCCGCATGGAGACCAGGAGAAGCACCTGGCTCCTGGCTTCAGATCAGCGGTACTCCGGCCGCAGCAGCCATTGGGGGGTGAACCAACGGCAAAGGAAGACCTTTCTCTCTGTCTCTCTTACTGTCCACTCTGCCTGTCAAGAAAGAAAGAAAGAAAGAAAGAAAGAAAGAAAGAAAGAAAGAAAGAAAGAAAGAAAGAAAGAAAGAAAGAAAGAAGATAATTTAACAAGTGACTAACTCACTTGGTCACTTGACGAATGTATGTTAGACACCTGCCGTGGGTTAAGCACTTTTTAGCCTGGTTACTTCCCGGATACACACACTGCACGTTGTTCTTTGTAACATGTAAGTGTAGTTAAGTAGTCGGGTGTGATGCTAAAAGTGACTCTCTCGAAAATATTATGAATGTAGCAGATGATTTTTATTTATTGGGGTCGTGACCTCAGCATGTTCTAATTAGCTTGCCATCCTTTCTACTCATCCTGATGGTCCAGATTCTTAATGTGGAGTTAAATAAGGCAGGGTGTAAGATGTTCTGGAAGAAGTTGGGTCATTCCCAGATGATTGGCTGCAAAGCAAGTCTGAGAAGGCAGTCGCTGGGAACGTTCTCGGGACAGGGATCACATAGTCCTCACTTAAAACCCCACCTTGGCACGGGGTGCTTGGCCCAGTGGGTAAGATCCCACTTGGGGTGCCTGCATCTCATATCTGAGTGCATGGGTACAAGTTCCAGTCGGCTTCGGATTCCAGCCTCCTGCTAGCGCACAACCCAGGGAGCAGCTGGTAATGGCTCAAGTACTGGGTTCCCTGCTACCCAGGGGGGAGACCCAGATTGAGTTTCTGGCTCCTGCTTGAGCCTTGGTCCAGCCTTGACTGGGGAGTGAACCGGCAGATGGAAGATTCTCTTGATAGATAGATAGTTATAGATATATAGATATCACTCTGATTTTCACATGGACGCAACTCAATATGTAATAAACATTAGAATCCAAGTTTGGATGCTTCCTAATTGTGTGACAATACACAAAAGCCTATCAACTTTTTGAGCCTCATGTGTTCACCTGTAAAATGAGACAACTAAAATCATACCAGCCTCAAATTGTTTCGTGGGTTTCAGAACATACAAACCCCCGCTATGGGATACGTGCTTGGGTGTACGCTGTATAAATACGAAAGCAGTGGTCTGGCTTCTTCCCGGTAACCTTGCCTTGGTGGGCACGTCTCCCTCCCCAGGCACTCTCCACCCCAGCCCATCCCCAGCTGCCACGGGGTGGCCTATGCAAAAATCTCTGGAGTCTGCCCCAATTATAGAAGATGACTTGACTTCATTTAACTGCAGCCCTAGCATTTGAATTTAATTGAACGGGAAATAATTAATCCTGTAGAGCGGGAGGTTTTTGAGGTTCCACAAGGCGACGTGCGATAGGGATCTCGTTACATGAGACCTTGGCAAATAGACTTTTAATAATCAGCGGCTACTTTCCGTGCCTTCCGCCTGCCATGAAATTCCAGCAGGAGCTACGGACGCCACGGCGTGGTGGGGGTGGGGGGGAGGGAGCGAACTGCCAATTAATTATTTAAAAAGTGATTTATTTACCAAGGTGAGCCATTTGCAAATTCAATAATAAATCTATTAAGGAGCAGTTAACCTCTATAACTCTGTTTTAAATAATCAATTGGTGTTTGGGTAGCATACAGCGTCTGTCTCATTAGGCCGGCAAAATGTCCTTATTTGAGGCCCTTAATCGGAAGTGTGACCGAATCAGCCAAGGGGCGGCAATTAGGGATTCACTGTGGGTCCATAGTCCTCCAAGGACCGGGCTCTTCCCCGGCTGGAGCAGCGCTGGCTGGGAGCTGCAGGAAGCCAGGGTCCTCTAATGCTCGACTCTCCGCCCCCTGCAGCGCCTCCCAAGACAAAGACTTGACGCCGCCACCTTCGTCCAGGGGAAAGAAGAAAAAGAAGAAATCTACCCGGAAGAAGAGAAGGAGGTGAGGACCCACGGGGGAGGGGAGGCCGTGCGATTGTGGAAGGGGCAGCGCAGATCTCGGAGTCCGCCTGGTGTTGGTGACTCTCTGCTGGGTTCACATCCCCTCTCTGCTGGGTTCACATCCCCTCTCTGCCTCTCCGCCAGCTGGGTGACCTTGGACAAGTCGCGTCACCTCTCTGTGCCCATGTCCACTTCCTCAACATGACGCTGATGCCTGCCTCTTAGGGTTTTGTGAGGACCGGATGAGAAACGCATATGCAAGCAGCCGTCACCGGGTCTGGCACATAGGAAATGGCCAATTAATAGCATCGTCATGACCGTGAACATGGGCTTATTCACTGTGGAGAACTCTGATAAGCACTGTCACCCCCATTACCTGTGTGCCCCTGACCACGATCTACAAGGCAGGCATTCCTTCCCCAGTTTAGAGGTGAGAAGAGAAAGCCTCAGAGAGGGGCCGGCAGCATCATTGTTCCCCGGGCTTGTCAGCTGGTTCTGCTACACCCACCTACCGAGTCAAGTGTCCCCTATTATGGACTTTGTAGTACTGCCAGCTATGACTCTTTCGTATTCTATGCACTCATTTTTTCTTAAATTTTATGTTTTCATAGTTTTCCAGGGTTTCATAGATTTTCTTGTAGGCTGTCAGTACGTGTGCTAAAAGCAGCCTTGTGTTCCAACCCCAGAGAGGTGGGCTGGAAGTTGAAACCCGCACCAAAGCTCCGAGGCAATATTTACAGAAGCCTGCAGGGGGCAGCAGAGAGCAACATCCGACGACTCGGACTTCGGCTCCAGGTTTCCTGGCTGCCTTGTTTCTCCGGGGTATCCCATTAGCCCGGTTCTCAAAGAATGGGCCCCAAGAGGACCCAGCAGGGAACAAGGGTGAAGACCCTGAGTTACAACCGTTGTTGGGTAGGGAGTGGAACTGGGGGAAGTGGTTTGAGTTTCCTGTCTTGGGGTGGACCAGAGAACACTTCAAAGAACAGAACTGCAGGCTTTAGGGTTCATTCATTCACTCATTCATTCATTCATTCAGTCCATGTGCCCTGAGCATGAGCTTGGGGACAAGCATTGTGACTCCTTAAGGGTGCAGTTTCCCTCTGTCGCCTCCCTCTGCCATTAGGTTTTGTTTGATGTGCAAGGCAGTATTTTTTTTTCTTTTCAATTGAAGTTCACCGTTTAAAAAAAATCCAGCAATTTCATAGGAAAATGTGGATGTCTGCATTCCCACACAGACCCTCAACTAATCCGAGAAGTAGCCCCTCTGGCTTCCGGTCAGGCACCCGTTGGTTTGCACAGTGCCCACCCCTCTCTCCAGACCTCCACCTGGTCTGCTGCCTCCAGGTAGGCTGTCGAGGGGATCCTGTTGGCACCGCAACCTGTGATCTGTTCAACCCTGCTTTTCTTTGTCCTTGCAACGCAAGAGACTCAGAGATGAGCCGTGATGTGCCCAAGGTGACGCTGTGAGTGGTGGCAGAGTCGAGATTGGACCTCAGGCCACCTGAGCCTCGTCCGGAGTCTCAGGGTGCCCCTGTTCCTCAGGTCACCTTTGGACAGTGCCACCCGTGCTGTGACCAATTGGCAAGATGGTCTCCGGGATCCCAGGCTCAGCCAGGATGGGGCAGACAAGGGACCCAAAGAATTCGGGAGGGGCGTAACTTGCAGGGGAGGGGGGGCAGCAGATAGAAACCCTCCCGGCCTGTTCAGGAGGGCAGTTAGGAGCCGATGTCTCACTGGGGACACAGAGCTCTTCGTGTAAATCCCAGCTTGTCCACTGGGCGGTCACTTCACCGCTGTGGACTTCAGTTGGTCTGAAAAGGGAGGGTGGCAGGTGCGCCTATGTAAGAAGTGTGGCAGGGTTAAGGAGACGATGCTTAATGACACCCACGGGGACGTTTCGAAGAAATGCAAGCTGCTCTCAGTAGTGATGTTTTGTGAAAAGATTTATTTTGTTTACTTGAAGGGCTGCCTTACTACCCCTTCTCCCCAAACAGCCACAAGGGCTCGGGCTGGGATAGACTAAAACCAGGAGCCTGGAGCTCCATCCGGGTCTCCCATGTGGGTGGCAGGGGCCCAAGCACCTGGGCCACCCTCTGCTGCGTTAGCAGGGAGCTGGATCGGAAACAGGAACTCAAACTGGTGTTCCGGTATGGGCTGCCAGTGTTGCAGGCGGCACCACAGCGCCGGCCCCTCTCCGTGTTATTGTCCCTGATGTATGTTCCTGAAAGAGCTGAGACCCCGCCGAGAGGCTGGGGAAGGGACCCTTTGAAGTGCCTCCCTCTGAAGTGTGTCTCACCCGCCCCGCAGGTCCCCGTCCCACAGCCCATCGCCTGTCAAGAGAAAGAAGAAGAAAAGCTCCAAGAAGCATAAGCGACGCAGGTATTGTCTTGTTTCCTCTGCAAGTGGGGATGCCCCGGGTTGGGCAGGGATTGAACAGCCACGCGGAAGCCTCTCACGGCACTGGTGTGATGCGGTTATCTGCGCGTCGTTACTCATTGGCCTCTCGAGTAAGCTGGGGCTCAGCCAGGAGGACCAGAGGCTCCGTCTGGGTCTCCATGTGGGTGGCAGGGGCCCAAGTACCTGAGGCTCCCTACAGCTAACTCCGGCCGGGAGGGGACTGGACGAGAGAAGAAAGCGGGAGTGTGGCCGACGCTGTGGCTCAATAGGCCAATCCTCCGCCTAGCGGTGCCGGCACACCGGGTTCTAGTCCCGGTCAGGGCGCCGGATTCTGTCCCGGTTGCCCCTCTTCCAGGCCAGCTCTCTGCTGTGGCCAGGGAGTGCAGTGGAGGATGGCAAAAGTCCTTGGGCCCTGCACCCCATGGGAGACCAGGAGAAGCACCTGGCTCCTGCCATCGGATCAGCGCGGTGCGCCAGCCACAGCACACCAGCTGCGGTGGCCATTGGAGGGTGAACCAACGGCAAAGGAAGACCTTTCTCTCTGTCTCTCTCTCTCACTGTCCACTCTGCCTGTCAAAAAAAGAAAAAGAAAGAAAGAAAAGAAAGCGGGGCGTGAAGGAGCAGCCAGGCCTGGGTGAGGGGTGAGGACTGAGGAGTAGACAGACCCCAGGCGACACCTGCGGTCACTTCCGCTTCCAGGTCCACGTGGGGGTGTCTCGTTCCTACTCCAAATTCCCAAAGGAAAGAGTCTCTTGTCGGTCCTACTGTTTCCTACAGGGGGAGGGGGACAGTTTGAAACACATGACTCCAGGATGGTCCACGTTTGTGGGTAGGGAGCAGGGATGGTAGTTAGACAGCTAAAGAACTGGACATGCTATGACCATGTGATCCAGACACGGCCCACCATACACACATGCGTGCATGTCCCCATTTGCATGTGCACATGCATGCATTTGTTCACAGGGGAGAGAAAAGACTGGAAGGGTATATACTGCAGGGCTTGAATTTGTGGTTCTGAGCCAACAGGTTATTTTTTTCCCAAACTTCTTAAAAGTTTTTATTTATTTCTTTGAGAGAGAGAGAGAGAGGGCGAGAGTGCATTCCCATGCATTGTTGCACTCTCGTACCGCAGGAGCCTAACTCAGGTCTCCCACACGGGAGGCCGGGACCCAAATACTGAAGCCGGGTCCACCGCTGGGTGGACTCTGATATGGGGCACAGGTGACCTCATTGGTGTCTGTACCAGGAGGCCAAACACCAGCCCCCAGGCCAATGTCTTATGATTGGAAGACTCTGCAGTAGAGAAGTTCCGCTTCCTAGGTTCTCTGTCAGGTCGGCAGCTCCGTCTTCAGCGGCCTGGTTTCCCTGCCGGCAGCCAGCAGCCGGCGCTGCCGAGTTGCTGTGCGCTTGGACGTGGCCAGCGTGCCAGTTGGCCACAGTCCCTGTGCAGCCCGATCCCATTGCTCACAAAGTCTGCAGTTGGCTGCGGATAACAGGAAGAGAATAGGTTATGTCTTGTTTTTGCTTCTCTGTGCCTCCCAATATTCCTGCATCTCTGATGGATTTACTTGTGTGAGTCCACAAGAACAAAACAAAAGGTTAAGAGGTCATCTGGGTTTTCCCTCTGCATTTCAAGTTGAAAGTTGCTCCAAAGGGGCTCCCCCCAATTTTGGGGGTCGGTGCCCCATCCTAGCCTGGTTGCCAGAATGACCTCCAGCCCAGGTTGGTCCCACCAGCTGTGTCCACCGGGTGCCCAGGCTCTTGGCCGCAGCTGGCTGGGGCTGATAGGGAAAGACTGGTAGTATGTCTGATTTTTGCGTTGATGGATGCTGAGTTTATGCTTCATACAAGACGTGGGCAAACCAGTTAGTGAGATGCGGGTCACTTGGTGCCACAAATCTCTCCCCACGTGGCCCGCCCCTGACTCAGGACTGACATCTGGTCAGCTTTCTACCCTGGGCAGCTCCTCCCCCTGTGGGGATGGGAGGGGAGAGCAGAAGCACCCGTCTGCATCTGGAATCCTGGAGGCTAGGGTACCACTTCCACTCCCGCTCCCGCTCCCACTCCCACTCCCACTCCGGGGTTTCTTCTCCTGCCACAAGGGTGTTCACAGGCATTTTCTGCCGGCTTCCTTTGAGAGGAGAAGGGGTGGGGGAGACCCTGCTGCCAGTCCTCCCCAAGTCCTCACCTGCTGAGCACTGCTCTCCTCTGGTCCAGGGCTCTGCTGCCTGAGGTGTTTGGTTAATGGTGATTGACTTTTGGGGAGGTGGGAGCTAGGGGTAACGAAAGCATTGCTGAATTTTTTTTTCCTTTTCTTCGCCTCAACAAGACTTCAGAGTTTTCAAAAATCTCATTTTCAACTTTTTTTTAATTGGGCACCCATTATATATCATGAATGAGGATTCCAGACCCAGAAACAGAATAGTGACCAAAACTCCATCCTGCCCTCAAATCGCACCCATTCCAGCTGGGAGTGTAGGTTATTTTAATATGCAGAAGCTCAGAGACCCCCAGAGCCGGGGGGCAGAGGAGAGGCACCCACTGGCCTGAGGGGCTCCTCAGATACAAGGAGACGGCATCTAAGTGGGTCTCCGAGGAATGAGTAGGAGCTGCAGGTGCAGCCCTGGGCGGCTCCACCGCTTCTCTGAACTTCAGGGTCTTTGTTCATAATAAGACGCTTTGCAGCATTTAGGGGAAGACTGGGCAAGATTACATACACGAGACAGGTGCTCGGCACCGAGCCTGGGACTTACATGACAAGTTCTGACTGTGGAAGCTGAGTGGCCCGGTGATGTGAGGAAGAGGAGGAGGAGGAGGAGGAAGCTCAGCAGGAGACCAGGGGAAGGGAGGAGGCAGAGGGCTCTTATTTCCCCCTCATCCGGCCTCCTCCAGGACAGGTTTTCAGACAGTGGGCCTGGTGGACTCTGACGTGGAAATCCAGAGTGCAAGCCAGCATTTCCCGCGGTACCTTCTTCTTCTTTGGAACCTGAGGGAGGAGGAAGATTGGTTGGGTGCCCTGAGCCACAAGGAGCAGGGAGACAAACCCAGGGAATACCCTCATCCCAGGACAGAAACCTAAACTCACCCGTATCTGCTCTTTCTCCCTCTCCCCCTCCTGTCCTCCATCCCCCCGCCCTGCTTCCTCCCCCTCCTCTCCTCCCCTTTCTTCCCGTTCACCAGGTCATTCTCCAAGAAGAGAAGGCACAGGTAAGCATCTGGCCGTCTCTGGCTGCCCGTTCCACTCCCTGCTTCCCCGGGCCACGGGATGTTTCTAGAGGCGTCTCCCAGTCCCACCTCTGCGTTCCTGGGCACAATTCCTCCTTCTTCCCGGGTCCTGGTTCCTTCCAAAATGAGAGCTTGGGTTGATTTCCCTGAATGTGCCGAGCCAGCTGTCAGTTCCCATTTGGCCATGTGGTTCCCCGGGTACGGCCCCTGTTACTGCTCCTCCCTCTGCCTCCCTCTGCCTGAGTCTGTTTCATCGCTGGTTGAATCACGAACCCCATCACTCTACCAACACCTTCCCAGATCTAGTCAAGGAGCAGAGAAGCCAAGTCCTAGTGTTCTGGAAACAGTTGGAAGAGCGTACATTAAGCCCTCACCTGCGGGTTCTTCTCCATAAACAGGATTCTGTATCGATCTCCTTCCATGTGCACATACTTGATTAATCCTAGCACCACCTGGTGGGGCAAACATGGTCACTGCTCCCATTCTGCAGATGGAAAAACTGAGGTCGAGTCAGTAGGTGGGACGGGAACGTCCACAGACAGAGGTAGGAGGTATCAGAGCCAAAACCAAGCCCAAATGTATCAGAGGACCAGGGAAGGTGACAGTGGCTTCTCACATAACAGCAGCCACATCTGGACCAAATTGCAGAATGCAAAATCCCCGCACTGACTCGCTTAAGGAGTAGATGGTGATTGCCAATGTCGTCCATCCACTCGGCAGCACAGCCTGAGCAATGGTCCCAGTTCATGGTCGAGGAAGCCAGGTCTTCGAGAGGACGTGCACCTTGCCTGACATCACACAGCCACTGAGCAGCAGAGCCAGGAGTTGGACTTGAACCTTTCAGTGAGATCCTGGGCTCTTTCATTGCCCAGGCTGAGTCTCAGTGGGGTGCTGGCTTCCGCAGCCAAGTTCAAGGTGTGATTCGGTTGGATAAAGTTAATTTCCTCCTTCCGAAGATCTGGGCCAATGATGGATCCTTGGTGACCCTGGAAGCCAGTCTGGCTGGAAGCACAGAATTGTGGTCACCCTTTTAGCCTCTGTGTGATTACAGTGGGACCCTGAGTCGTCACTGTCCATTGTACTCATACCCATCTTTGTTTAAAAGGCAGAGAGACAGACAGACAGAGGATACCCATCTGCTGGTTCATTCCCCCAGTGCCCACAATGGCCAAGACTAGGCCAGGCTGAAGCTGGGAGCTGGAACTCCATCCAGGTCTCCCACAGCGGGGCAGGGACCCAGCTACCTGAACCTTCACCTGCGGCCTCCCAGTGTGCATTGGCAGGAAGCAGGATCAGAAGTAGAGCTGAGACTCGAACCCAGGCCCTCTGCTGTGGAATGTGGATGTCAAGCAGCATGTGAACCGCCAGGCCGAATGCCTGCCCCCGTATAATTCTGTCTTCAACCACTTTCTGGTCAAGTACATCTTTTGGTTAATTGGCCGTTTCTTGTTTAGCTCCTCTAGCCCAAAAAGCAAAAGAAGGGAAGAGAAGAGGCACAAAAAACAGTAAGTAGATCCCACCTGGAAAGCGCTGTCTGGTGTGGGAAGACGGGGGACCCAGCCTCTTAACGGCCAGCGTATCAGAGTGACCAAGGAAACAGGGAAAGGGGGGAGAGTGGGGGTGGGGGTGAGACATAAGGAGGAAGGGAAGGAAGGAGAGAGGACTACATGTGTAGTTGTAGTTGTGGTTTAGGTGTGCATGCATCACCAGGTTGTGTACCTGATATGCTTATGTGTGTATGTATATGTGTATGCATGTGTGTTGAAGCGTGCACGAAAATGTACATGGATGTGCCTGTGGTGGCCACGTGTATGCCCGTTGTAAACATATATGTGTATGTAGCTGTGTGGTGTGCACATTGCTGTGGATGTCTGTTCATGTCTACATCATGCAAACACTCATGTACATGGTGTGTACAAATGTGTCCAGTGTGGGTGCATAGTGGGTGTATGTAGTGTATGCGTGAATGCATGTGTGTGTGAGCATGAACGTGGACAGTATGTATGTGGGGGCACCATGTGCCCACACGTGTGAATTCTTTGGACTCTGCGTGAGCACTGTTCATGTGTCTGTGTGCATGACATGTGCAGGGTTGCGTAGTAGTTTGTACCTGTGCACATGCATGTGCTGTGAGTGCGTGAGGGAATCATGTGTGCACACATGTGTGAATCTACGCCCAGGCTGCAGGTTTACAGTACAGAGACACCAGTGAGGCTTCTGTCCTCTGTCTTGGGGCCCCAGCTGTTTCCTGGTTTTATAGCTGGTAGTAGAAATTCAAATCAGCCAGCACTGCCTGCAGAGTTCAGTTCCCAGCCAAATTAAAAGTAAATTTGGTTACAACCCACCTACTTTATATCCTGCAAATGTTACTGCATGTGTTTTCCTATCAACTAACATTTTATCTCCCACTAAGAAGCTTCTAAAGAGAGGATCGAAGGCAAAGCTTGGAAGGTAGCCGTCTGCTGGGGTGGGGAAAGAGGAGGCAGGGGTGTAGAGGGAGGAAGCCCAGCCCTGCCACCCCAAAGAGTCTCATCACCCAAGGCCGGTGCAAAGGAGGGCACTTTGGTCACCACCTCAGGGGCCCAGGGACACTTGGGAAGAAGAAAGTAGAACCTCGAGTCAGCGCAGGGAGAATTTCCCCATCGAAGCTTGTCGGGGTCCAGACAAGAGGCTTTGACACCGAGCACCAACAGAGCCCCTGTTCTCGGAGATCTCAGTATCACTTGTTCAGTGGAGCCGTAGGATAAGCAGTCGCAGGGTCAGGGGCTGGGCCCAGACCTCCAGGATGCCGGGAGGGACCATCCCATGAGGGCCAGCATCACGGCCACCTCCCCTAGGGCCAAGAGCTGAATGTGTCCCAGAAATTTCTATCAGGGCGTCAGAAAGCTGGCACAAGCCAAAGACCAGAGGTGGGAGGACAGGAAGCAGCAGGAAGAACAAGGCGTCCCTAAGGTAAACGATGCTTCGTTCTGTCTGAGTGCCAGGGTCAGAGCTGCCTGCAAGCCCAGGACTGCTGGCCTGGGTCAGCCTCCTGGAGGCAGGCCCCCCTGTGTGTCAGGCTCCAGACAGAAATGAGCGGATGTGCTCTGGGTCTCTAGGAACTCCTAGCACAGCAGGCCCAGGAAATAGACCTGGGCCAGGCCAGGGCTCAGAAGTGGTAGATGGAAACCCAGGGCACTCACAGGGGCGACACTGGTGCCGGAGAACGGGCTCAGTGGGAGCTAGAACAGGCAGTAACTGTTCTAGGCTGCAGATTAGGCATGCTAAGTGCTGTTTGCCTCTGTTTCTTCGTCTGTGAAATGGGAAGACTAAGAGACCCTGCCTCCTAGTTTACTGTGAGGAAGAGATGAGTCTGTTAAGGAAAATCACAGGTTCCCTGGCAACGGTGGCATCGTCATCCTCACTGCGGGGACTCTGCAGACTGGGGCATGTGCAAGCCGGGACAGAAGCAGTTCAGAGGTGCTTGCACCTGTCGGGCCAGGGCAGAAGGTGTCAAACAGCAAAGGCAGAGAGTGAAGGCAGGGCCCAGCTCCTAAAGATGCTTGCGGCTCAGCATCACAGCCTGGACTTCCCCAAGGGCAACGGGGAGGGAGGGGTCTGATGGATGACCTTGTTAGAATCTCCAAATCCTTTGTCAGAATAATCACCCTGCCTCCCAGTAGAATCATCTCTAACTCCCACTTTCTCCCTGGCTTGGCCTAAGCCTTTTTTTTTTCTTTCTTTTTCTTTCTTTCTTTTTTTTGCACCTCCTTCACTACCACCCCTGCTGCTGCTACTACTATTTCTGGGTTGTTCTTATTGCTTAGAGATACTGCCGTCATCTGTAGTAATGCCATTAGCCGTGGCCATTAGCGTTGTTGTAAATTATTGTTGTTGATTGTGTGTGAAGCCCATTCCGAAAGGCGTTTGAGGGCCCATTCTGGAAGCCACGGCAATGCAAGGCGTGGTGGCAGTTGCATAACTTTGAGAGGGATGGTGACTTGGGTGCAGAGGGATGTGTGTCACAAGGTCAAATCTCTCTCTCTCCCCCTCTCTCTCCCCATTCCGCTTCCCCACTCCTCTCTCACCCTTTCTGAACCCTTGAAGATCTCGAAGCCGGCCCCGAAAGTCTCACCGCCACCGCCATCACCGCTGCCCCTCCAGGTCCCAGAGTTCGGAGTCTCGCTCCTCTAGCTGTGAGAGCAGGTGAGCCCTCGCCCCACGGGGCCTCCTCCACCCAGCGCCCGAAGCCCTGGCTGCCACTCTGTGGTCGCCTGCTTTGTCTCTTGCTGGCGGTCGCGCCCGCTCTCCCAGCCCTCGGGGGCCCCCACCACTTCCCCTGAAGGCAGAAGGCCTCCTTGCCACCCCTGTGTATGGACGTGGCGGCAGCAGCATGAGCAGCGGTGGGCACACGTGCTCTCTAAGCGCCCGTGGCACCGCGCTCTGTGTGGCAACCTAACGTGATGCCCTCCAGAGCCCTGTGCAGCAGGCACTAGTGTCACCCCTGTTTCAAGGAAGGCACTTGCTAGACACTTAGCACCAAGGGACAGAACGAGGGTGGAAATTAAGGAAGTGGTTCTGGGCTTTGCACTCCCACTATGGGATGCTCTAAGCACAGAGAAGCTGAGCAACCCAGGAAAAAGCCACACAGCACAAAGCACTAAGTTCCGAGGCCTTTCCAAGCCCGTTTTCTCCTAACCTGAACTGTCCCTACGACGACACAGTGCCTGCCCCAGACTGAGATGGGAAAGAGGGGTTCTCTTGTGGATGGAAAAAGGAGGAAAGAGAAGGGAAAAGAGGAGGAAGGAGGAGGAGGAGGGACCAGGCTCTGTTGATGCTGACGTCTGCGGTATTGGTGTCCAGTGGGACTCCAAGGCCAGCCCCCGACAAGTGTGGCTTTTCTGATTCTCGGGTGCTTGTCTCGCTGGACTCTGTGCCCCCATCAGCTGGGGAGATTTAAAACCTCCTGCCCTGCTGGTGTGGCCGTGCAGCCACAGGCGAGGAAGAGGGCCCCGCCATCTCCCGGTAGCAGGCTGTGGCATCCCCTGCCTGCCATGCACAGTTCCCAAGGTGATCACCGTGACACGAGGTCTCTCCGTGATCTGACTGCTCAGGTCGGAGCCCGGGTGAAATGAGAAGTTTGTCCAAAACACTGGGCGACCAAAGACCTCCCTCCCCGCGGCCAGGCTGGCGGGCTGTTCAGAGTAGCCGCTCCTTGGGCAGTGACGGCCTTGGCCTGGATCTCATCCTGCATCTTTCTAGATAAGACCGATGCTAGTGCCCAGTTGGATGACTACCCCGGCACTTCCCAACAGTGTCCAGTGCACAGCCACACTCCTCTTCCCCAGGGCTCCCCCAAGCCCACCCCCTCGCATTGAGACCTGCACAGCCTGTGCTGCGAGGAGCAGCAGACACACCTGTCCCACCACACAGGCTCTTGGTAGCCTCTCTCTGGAAGGCATCAGCCCACTGAGCTAAACTGCATTGCCTGTGGATGCCGGCTGGGGAGGGGGAGCTGGGTGAGGTCCCCCAGCCAGGAAGCGACTGGTGGACGTGGGATGGGGACCCAGGTCGGTGTGATCAGCCCAAGCTCTACACCGGGAGCCCAGACTGCTTTAGCTGTCAGTGACAGAGCCCTGCTGGCCTGGGCCCCAGGATCCTGCAGGGCCTCCACAACTTACCTGCCGGGGAAATGGGCTAACGGCACAGACACCAGCCCCAGGCTTCCCGATGGCCCGTCTTGTGGTGCCACTGCCAGCTGAGGTCCCCAGTGCCTGCAGCAGGCCGGGGAGCCAGATGAGAGCTGGCACCTTGCAAACACGGAGCTGCAGGCCTCGGAGCAGACAGGGACGCTGCAAGCAAGAAGCAGAGGCCCAGATCCTACGGGGCCGGGGAGCTGACCTGGGTCAGTCACTTGCAAGCTGTGCGGCCTCAGTTTCCTGAACATCTGTGAGCCTCAGCCCCTCATCTGTACAGTGGAAAAATGACACTCGCCCCTGTCTGCATCTCCAAGCTGTAGAGAAGGCTTTGGAAAGGGCCCTGGGAATCTATAAGGTGCTGTTCTTACTGATGATGCAAACGTCGCTGTGGACCACTTAACAACCAGGCACCTTCTGGAAGATGCACTGTGAGACGATTTATTTCCTTGTTGAAGGGCCACGATAGAGTGCAGTTCACAGACCTAGACCATAGGGGTCGGTCACCCAGCGTGGCCTCCCGATGCAATCAAGGGTCGGGTAAACCCAAGGCGTCTGAGACCGCTGCACGGTATCAGTTTTACGGTAAACTTTTTTCTGTGTGGCTGGAGTGCTCCCTCTTATAACAACAAGACGTGTCACCTAGTACAGTACAGTCAACACGTACGCAGGAGCTTAGTCACTTGCTATCAGTGCCCAGTGTCACCTGGATAATTACGGGCGCTGTGCTGTCAGACTGGCAGAGCACCAGGGTGGTCTGTTCATGTCAGCATCGCCCGTGAGGCACAGATGAGCAATGAGCTGTGCTGTGAGGCGTCCCTAGGCAATGGGGAATCCTTTAGCTGCATCACAGCCTTCCAGGACCACCGTCTCGCAACAGCCTGTCGTTGGCTGAAACACCGTCACTTGGAAAAACGACAGGATGCCCTCCCCAGGCAGTCAGATCTGTCCTTGGTTTTGGCTGCAGACAAGGCAACCAAACCTAAACCCAAAGAGCTTGCGGGAGGCGTCTCTAGGGTGCACCTCGGCCGTTTCTCCCCAAGAGTTTTGGGTGACAGTCAATAAGATGCCTCTGTGTCACAGATGGGGAAGCCACATACACAGAGATACACAGAGATACACAGTTCTATTTACAGGCAAGCACATGGAAACACAGATGGACACAACCAGACACACACGTGGTCATGGGACACCACACAGGCCCATGGAGAATATGAAAGGGACCCTTTTGGGCTTACAGCTTCAGTAATGTAGGAGCTGTCACAGTGCCAGGTACATGAATGATCAGTTGCTAAATGAACAAATAGCTGAGTGGGTGGGTGGGTGAGTGGATGGGTAGATGAAGATACACACAGCCCAGCTGTCATGCACACACACACAGAGATACACCCAGAAATAAAATCACACGTGAATGGATGCAAGCGTACCCAGACACAGAGCCTGATGGCCCCTCCACCATCTCTCAGGCTTCTCTCTCCTGCCCCCAGGCACCGAGGCCGGTCCCCCGAGGAAGGGCGGAAGTCTCGCCGGAGGCACTCCCGCCGCTGCGCCAAGACCCTCTGCAAGGCCAGCCCCGAGGCCCGGTCCAGCCACCCGCCCACCCAGCCTCTCCAGATACTTGGCTTGCTGTCTGCCAGAGGTGTAGTAAGTATTCCACACAGACTCCTCTGCCAGCCGTGGCCACAACACGTTGGGGAGGTGGAGGCACAGGTTCAGAGCAGTGTATGATACATTTCAATTCCGTTTTGGGCAAAACATCCCACTGGCTGCAGACCTCGTTATTGATTAACCAGATCAGCCTTTGGCAGCACTCAACTTGGGGGTTTCAGGGATCCAGAGAGAAAAGATGAAATTAGCCAGGCTCTTTTATCAGAGGAATGTTGGAAAATACATGCAGGTCTCCGGAGTGACATCTACACGGATACCTGTGCAAGACGTCATAGGAGGTATCTTTGGACAGGAAGGAAAAGGAGGGGTCTTTGACCTAACAGAGGAGCCCCAGCTTTTACATAGAACCTACATCTTTTATGCCAACTGACTGGCAGTGCTGGTTGGTTGGCACCTGGAATCGGATTCCACCTATAAACATGACCTTGAATTTGTATGAGAATTTTCCTTCAAGGAGCTAATAGCACTTGACCTGTGTCCTCTCGTGGGCTCACACAAGGTCTCAGGGAGCTGAGGACACAGCTGCTCTCACTAGTCTCTTCCACAGATGGGACAGAAAAATGAAGGCTCCGAGGGGTTAAGGTCTAGGCTAAGGCCAGCGTAAGGAAGAGCAAATCTGGTTTAGCAAGCAGGCATTGGAGAGAATCATGCGGCACTCTCCCAGGTTAACGAGAGGAGCTGGACTTGGGTCAGACTGTGTGGCACCAGGAGCAAGAGATGCAGAGATGGGTATGAATGCGAGTCCCAGCCTTGCCACTTCCTTGCTGTGTTTGTTGAGCGAGTTACTTAGCCTCGGTTATTTGTTTTGTTTTGTTTTGTTTTGTATTTTACTGGTCAACTGGAAGAAATACCACTTCCATTTGTTGGGAATGTACAGTAAGATAGAGTACGTGAAGGCCTTCTGTAGATGCTAAAGGCACAAAGAGAGAGTTAACATTGACACAGCCCATAAGTGCACCCCATTGCTCTGAAGGGACCCTGCTCCTCTGGCTGTGTGTGAATCTGAGCATTTCAAGGAGCTGCTCCCCCTAAAGGATAAAGTGGGAACAATGAAAAGCGAACGGGGAGGTCGTAGGAAGCCAGGAAAGAGAAGGTAGTGGTGAACAGCCCTGGTCCCGGTTGACCCCACGGTCATCTGCAGTGCATTTGGGAAGTTCTTCTTTACCAGCCAAGGTGCCTGGTGCCACCGATTTTGCCCAAATTCCCATCTTCCTGGAACCACCGACCACTCTTCCTCGGACCCCTCCTTTGTGGAGATGGCTGTGGTTACTGAGTCCTTGCAAATGGCAAATGCCTGCCTGCATCTTCGGCTCCTGAGATGTCCTGAGAAGGAGCCTTCCCAGTAGGGTTGAGGGACTGGAGGTCTGGGCTTGCGTCTTAGCTTGGCTGCCCCAGCTGGCCAGCCCCAGCTTCCTCAAGTGGGAAATGGGTGTGAGTCTCAGGGGGCACCGTGGAAAAGGTAAAAATAAATGTGAAATATGAGCAATCTGAGGTAGAAGCATATTTTTAACTCAGGAAAGGCCACGCAGGCTCCCTGCTGGTGGTATTTATAGTAGCCTATCTGGAGCCCCCATCTGACCCTAGCTAAAAAGTGCCATGGGGAGAAACCGACTTACACTTTCTCACCTGCCTGGGATGGTTTCCTAAGGAGCTCATGTCTGCAAATGTGTTACCAAAATCTGAGTCTCTCTTCCCACACTGGCTAGCGATGCTACCAGACCTGGCACTGTTTCCTAAAAGACACTGGTTCTTGATGGCTTTGGGGTGAGACGCCTGGATGTCCCCCCATGAGCCCAGCTCTGCTCAGAAGAGCTGAAAGCCAAGCCAGACCTACCGAGGAGAGGCCTTAAGAGCTCATCCGACACAATGCTCTGATTATCAAGAGGTGGGGGAAACTGAGACTCACAGAAAAGAAATGACTTACATGGACCATGGCAAGGCGGTGTTGTTCAAAACCTGGGATTATGGTTTTGTGGTCAAATCCTGGCTCTGAGAAAAGAGTAATTACTTACTCATTTTGGCTTCAGTTTCCTAATATGTAAAACAAAATAATGATAGATAATAACAGTCTCTTCCAAAGAGCCAAGGACTCGGCCCAGGAGCAAAACTCAGCAAATATTAGGTATGTTATGGTAACAACATTTCAAATCCTGGCTCTGCACTTACCACCTATGAAACCTTGAGCAAGTTAAATAAACTCTCTGTATCTCAGCTCCCACAAAATCTGCTGAACAAGGATAAGACCGACCTTATGAGATTATTGTGAGGATCCCATGGTGCGATGTAAGTAAAAGTTTTAGCATGTAATAGACAAGAGGTTAATGCCACATAACGAGCATAGTGGTAACCATGCAGAGAGAAGTGGAATAGCAGTGGAGGCAGCAGTGGTAATTAGTCGTGGTAATGGTAGTTATCAACAATAGCAGTAGCAGCGGTAGCAGTAGTTACAGTAGAACAGTTCCTGACCCATGCCTGTCACAGTTAAGCTTGAGTTAGACCCAGAGCCCCTACTTCCAAGACCAGTTTCCTTCTTTCTTAAACAGCACCTACAGCCCAAGTGGCTGGCCCACCACACACACAGTTGCCCAGTTCCTGGGGGCAGCAGCAGCCTCCACACTCGGCCTTTTATGATCGTCTCTCTTACAAAGGCAGAGATGGGAGAAGGTTCTAGTTTTGACCAAAGATTTTCCCTGAGTCGGATCCCAAGGGTTTTCCATTAAAGAGAACCCTGAAATCACTTACTCTGAATCACCTTTTCAAGCAGTCATTGAGATCTGCATCCGTCGAGCAGCTGTAGAAGTTCAGGTTCTGGCTTGGCTCTCGGAATCCAACACATGAGAAAGTCTGTGATGGACAAGTTAGAAATCTTTTTTTTTTTTTTTTTGACAGGCAGAGTGGACAGTGAGAGAGAGAGACAGAGAGAAAGGTCTTCCTTTGCCGTTGGTTCACACTCCAATGGCCGCCGCGGCCAGCGCACCCCACTGATCCAATGGCAGGAGCCAGGAGCCAGGTGCTTCTCCTGGTCTCCCATGGGGTGCAGGGCCCAAGCACCTGGGCCATCCTCCACTGCACTCCCTGGCCACAGCAGAGAGCTGGCCTGGAAGAGGGGCAACCAGGACAGAATCCGGCGCCCCAACCGGGACTAGAACCCAGTGTGCCAGCGCCGCTAGGCGGAGGATTAGCCTAGTGAGCCGCGGCGCTGGCCACAAGTTAGAAATCTTATAAAGCAAAGCACAGTGACTGATGCCCAGTTGGGACAGAAAGTTAGCTGGCAGGGAAAGGGCTTAAGGCTAAAGTTAGGTAACAATTACCCGAAAAAAACTAAAGGAGAACAAAAGTTAGTCAAAGAAGAGGAAAAATAAACATGGGTGTCAGAGATAGAGACAGAGATCTGGACGAGATGGGACAGAGTCCTGAGTGTGGCCACAGCCCCTGCGGCTCCTCCCCACAGGTGTTTCATATACATAGCTCCTTAAAAAGCCAAGGCTCTGTGCATTCCAGCAAGGGGCTCATTTGCATGTATTAATAGGGAAATGATGGGGCTGAATCTTAACTGGAATCCTTGTTGGTAATTGACCCGAGGCACCCTTGCAGGGTCAGAGGCCCAAATCCAAGTGGAGATCCCAAGAAGACGGCTTGGGGACCCTCCCCATCTCACCCGTGGTCTTGATCTTCATGCCACTGCCTCTGTTCAAGGCACTGCAGAGACAGAGCGATGAATAAAACCTTCCCTCTGAACTCCAGTAGTCCCCAGAACGCTGCAGCCTAGTGGGACGGAGTTGTGATTAGGGCTGCGATTAAGTCGGTGGACACTGGGACTCTCTATGCTGTTACATATTCAGATACGCGCACATCAGTCACAAAATAGATCCTGTCACCCCCGGACCCCACCCCTAGTCAATCCCGTCACCCCCTCCTCCCCTGGCATTTTCTAGACCATCTCCCAGTCCAGCAGCTGAGAAACATGGTCTCCTTCAGGGTCAAGGCCAGCATGCCTTCTGATGGGGCGGTACCCGCACCAACCAGTTGCTAAACACCTTGAGTGTTACCCCGGCCGTGGTGGACGCAGGCACAGTGTACGACAGGGCTCCAGGGAGGGGCCATGCAGTGTTGATGTCTGAGAGGGCTTCACAGAAAAGAGAACACCAGGCTGGGCTTTGAATGATGCCTCGGAAAGTTCGTCAGGTGGAGATGAGGGATGGGTGGAAGGAGGGGGCAGTGCCAGCGCATGCCAGAAAGTGTCACAACCCCGAAAGCTTTGTCCTCATCTGGTACACAAGACTTTTTTTTTTTTTTTTTTGAGATAGGTTCAATCATCATCACCATTTTGCAGATGGAAACACTGAGGCTCTGAGTGGTGGAATGACCTAGCAGGGTGGCCCGAATGAGATGGTAGGAGTCAGGGCTTAGGCTTGGAAGCTTACTCCGACAGCCAGCACGGAGGGTGACTTGGCCATGGGAGGCTGGTGGCCTCAAGATTGGGCCAAGGCCTTTCCTGGTTGTAAGGGGTTCTTGAGCAAGGCTATCAGAACTGGAGAGCAACTCTAGAAGGGAGGCCGACCCAGGAGAGGAGCAGGCTTCATAGCTCCTCCTCTTGTCTCCAGCTAGGGCCAGTGACAGCCACAGAGCCTTTGAAAAAAAAAAAAAAAAAAAAAAAAAAACCTGCAGAGATGCCAAGAGCAAAAGAAAAAAGCCGAACTTAGGGCCCTTAAATGAGAGCCTTTGAGCTGTGCCAATTCAGACCCAGGCTTTGCAATGGCTCCGGGAACTCTGAGATTCTTGATCTTGTCTGTCTGTGAGGTCCTGAGTGAGTGACAGCAGTAACGAAGGGCGGCTGACCACCTCCCGCGCTCCAGGGGCCCATCTGAACTGCCTGTGTATCCATCGTCTCCTTTTCTTTTATAATAGCCCTTCAAGGGGGCTTCTGCTAATACCTCCAGTCTTAACAGTGAAGAAACTACAGCCTGGGAAAACCA